GGAAATTGAAGGATTTGTTTCTGAGAAGGGGAAGATGCCAAAAAACATAAAAGTCCAGGTGCTGTTTTTCCCCTCTGTTTTGTGAAAACAATGGCTTGTTTGAACTAAATGTTATCTATAGTGAGGTTGCAACACAGTGGATGCACAGTGCATTTAACCTACCCTGGGGTGCACCTGGCTCTGTGTAGGAGGGCAAACGTCTGAATAGCCCTGTTGTCAGACATTGCCCTTCAAGAGCTGAGTGCAGATGATCTGCTCTAGCGCAAGGGGCTTAGAACACACTGCAGTGTTATGAGTTTACAGCGTCGGAGAAAAGAAACGTTCGATAAAAGCTGTGCACACAACCGTGTTTTCTGATACAATGCGAGAGTCTTGGATAACCCCCCTGCTAAGACAAAGAGCTGTAACTATATTTTAAATGCCTGTACGTCTTATGTTAATTGTATATGCTTTGACAACACTGATTTATTCATGGTCATGCCTATAAAGCTCCTTGAACTGAATTGTAACACCTGCGTAGGCTGAGATGTGTTTTAAAATTCCTCCCTAAATGCCTATCTGTTAACTCAACCTGGACAGCCACCAATAACAGGGGATAAAAAATCAGAAGAAGTTTGTTGTAGTTCGTTAAAAAATAAAAAAATGAGGACGATCGTTTTTGTCCTGAAAATCTTTGGTACTCTCTGCAGAGAGGAAATTGAGTTCTCTTTCTAAACTCAGGTGAGCTCCAGTGTGACCGACCAGAGTCTGTTCTCTGAGTGGTGTTGCTGGGATATTGACGTTTATACTCCAAATGAGGTTGACTGGCACCTTTATTTCGATGGAATTAAGTCCTCGTAGCAGTGAAGAAAGCCATGGAGACCCCCGACACAGGGCTATAAACACTTCAATTTCTCAGCTACAGGCAGTGAGTGCTCCATTTCACTGTTTCCCAAGGAACTCTAGATCTTTAACCCTGTCACTTGTAATAACATCTCGCACTAGCAAGGACTTGTTTAAAATCTTGTGAAGTTTCCTGCTAGGAAAATTTTAACATAATTTGAACAGATGTGTTTATTATGACAATAAATCTTTTTTTTTAATGCTTGGTGAATCTGAACCACATTTAATGAGGGATCTTTTAAGTTTACATCGCTGAGATAACCTTGTCATATATTTGAGCAAAATACGTTTTTACAGGGAGGAGAGTTCATGGAAGGACTCTGTAAGGCTAAACGAAAGGGCTGCTTTTTTATGGGAGTGCCCCCAGCACTCTCTTCAAATTAAAAAAGTACATTTAAACAAGATATTTCATATTTTATCATGTGGACAATGTTAAAATCATTCTATCACTACTACTGAGTATCAGTGAAACGTGAGCTCTGGACATTAAGAGGATGTTTTTGATATGCAGTATAAGCTTCGTGTCGGTAGAGAAGAGCTCGGATTCCATCAGATGCGGATTTAGTTGGATTTCATCTGCATCATGTGTGCCAGATTCAGTCCCTGGCTGGTTTTATTTATGGGTCACCAAAGACTTTTAAACTACTTACTATTCTTTGCATTTTAAGAGTTGTACCAATTCTATGTTGTTGTTTTTTTAAGTTTTACGGAATAGCTTTTTTTTAGACTTGTAACTGTTTCTTGCTGGTTTATGGCTTGCGGGATGTCTGTCTGCTAAGTACTGCAGACGTGAGCGGAGCAGGCCATCGAGCGGGGATCATCCTCCCCCTTTTGCGTTAATCTTTTCCTTATGTTCCTGCTACTGCCCTGAATTCCGAACATCGCTCTGAGGTTTGTCCTCTGGGTCGCAGTCCGATCCGAAGGCGTTCCGGACTCAGCTGTCCGGGGCAGCCCCTCGAGGTGCCGTTTCCATCACAGTATAACGCCCATGGCTGGTGTTCACCGAGAGCAGCCTTCCCAAAGGCGAGCTCAGCTGGGAGTCTCCGGGTGTCGCTGTGCCGAGACCGCGCAGTCAGTGGGGGAAAAGGCATGTCGGCCTCCCGCCTGGCACACGTCTCGTGTGAGACACGACAGCGAGCATGCATGTGCCGTGACAGCCCCACACTCCACAGGATTCCCTTCCACACTCTCCAGTTCTTGTCCTTGAACCCAACACGTCTCCCATCGAAGACGCCCCTCTGATAAAGTCGCTCAGTTTGATTGTGAGTGAGTAACGGGGCAGTTTCAGGGCTCCACTGATCCACCTGCTGCGGTGACGTTCGCAGGGGCAGAGGAAGATCCCTTGCTCTGGAGGTCCCCGAGACTGGGCAGTTCATGATGCTGCCCGGCTGGGTTTTTTTTGGCAGATGCCGAGTTTTTGTCTGCAGCTCAGATTTGTGAACAGCGCTTTGTTGTGCAGTTTCTGTAATAACAGAGCAGCAGTGTAGCGCCGCTCAAATAATAGCTTAGGTTGGTTGTATTCCCCTCGACTTCCTGTGAGAATATTATTTTTGCCAGCAAGTTATTTTTTCATCTTTCAGTGGTTTTAAAGTCTTTGGGTGTAAAGGAAATGGGTCACGCAGTGTTCTAATTTTAGAGGTTCCTTAATTATTTGACTTGTTCCTTATTTAAAGCTGTTTTTTTACATAGGGAAGGAAAGATTTCTGGCAGGTTTTATTTTCTTTTTTGATTTGGGGAGTAAATAAATGTTTGAAAGCCCATCCCTTATTATATTTTTATATTTGGTGGCAATAAAAAATGCCTATCATCTTTGACTTCTTTGTACTGCTACATCAAGTTCTGTATCCTCTGATTAATCCTTAGGTTTCTTTTGTAGAATGAACATGTTCCTCATTCCTGCCTCTCTCTGTATACTGTAAGAATGCCTCTTTGTTGTGTGGGCTTCACAGCTGATAAGCTGCAAACTGGAAGATAATTCTCAACTGCAGTCATAAACCTGCGCAGTTGCGCAGTAGTGGAAACAGGAGTGGTCTTTAGGGATTCCTGTGAAACATTAATAGTGGGTGACCTGTTGCTCTCAGAAAGCTTTATATCTATTGTTAGTAACATTTGAGTTGGGTGAATACATTTTCATCATTTATGTTTTGGCTGTTCATGAGGTATTGTTTGTAACTGTTAACACTTCCTCTCTCTTCTTCTTTAAATCTTTTTTTCCTTTTCCTTTGGGGAAGTGAGGCTCTGAAGAAAAGTGAAATTTCACCTTGGCTGCATGAAGACTCTTGTGTTCTTTTGTTTCCTGGCAAAGAACCAGCAAATCTGAAGTGCCCATTCTTGTAGGAAGTCCTGTTGCCCTTAAATCCCAGAATGAAGGAGAAAAACAAGGTTTCACCTGCATTCTGGGCAATGTTTTTATCACTGCAAATAATTATTTTTTTTCCAAATATCTGAAATCCCACAACAATAAACCCAGCTGGGTTTTGCCAGGAATGTCTGCTTGTTTAGTTCATGAACACGGTACTAACGGAGCTTAACCTCTGAGAGTGCGCGCGATGGTGGAGCTTTCGAAATTTGTTCCTAGTGAAGTTCGTCTCTTTGTGTTACGTACCCTTTTGCGACAGTCGGTCATAAAACCCGCTCAAAACTTCGATGAACCACTTAGTTATTGGAGTTGTCTAAGGTGACTGACCGGTGTTTCTCTCCCCAGGTAGAAGACTCAGAGGCAAAGCTTTTTACTACGTGTGTGGGAAGGTGTTCTGTGAGGAGGACTTCCTGGTGAGGGGCTTTGTTCTCAACCTCTGCTGTAGAGGATTGTGGGTCAAGCTGTATTTGGAGCTGGCACATGCCTGCTTCCGCCACGGTGAAAGGATACACCCTCTGCGCTTTTCTCGGCCTGTCTAAGCTTGTACATTTAAAACTGCCGTTTTATTTTAAGATTGCCGTTGTATGCAACATCCGCTGACTAATTCAGTTCTATGTGCGTGTAGGTAGGCACAAGCCTCTTCTAATATTTATATGTTACCATAAAAAACAATTTAGGTCTATTTTGGTTAAGTTAACAGGTTGCGTTTGACTTCCCAGTTTTTGTGAATAGAAGTGTTATTCTCTTTTTGAGAAAAGAAGAAAGGGTAGACTAAGGAAGTTCAGACAAATATCTGCTATACAGTACGTACTGTATGTGGCTCAGTCTGGTATGTTTTTGTGAGTGAGAATTAAGAAAATCTTAAACTATTTTTCAGTGATTTATTTCAGATGCAAAAGTCTCTGAAAGATTGTGAATTCTCCTTGGGTTGTGTGTTTTTTGTGTGCCTAGGGCCATTTTTCTGTGTTAGATGTAGAATGCAGTTCTAAAGGTCTTCCATCTTTGTTTGCAGTACTCGGGTTTTCAGCAGTCAGCAGACAAATGCAACGTCTGTGGACACCTGATCATGGACATGGTGAGTTCTAATTGTAGGCATTAAGTTTTCAAGTCCAGAACGTCTTGCCTAGTTTTTGGTTTTCAATTTTCTGGTTTCCTGTTGGTTTCTCGTCTCCTTCAAACCTGGGTCTGTGCATTGCTAAGTGGCCTTTCTGGTTGTTTTTGTAGGAGAGCTGTTTCATCCCTATTTTGTTCCATCACAGCTGACAATGTGAGCTCGTGAGTGCTGCTAAAATCTGAATTAATTACATTTTGGAGCAATGTGGAATTATTTACAAGAATTGCTTCTGAGGACATCATTGCCAGGAAAATTGTTTTCATGTTTCCTGAAGGACTTGAGTGTGGGTTCTGTTGTACCATATTAAGAGATTTCACTTTTTCTGTGGCCCTCCAACCACAGCCTCTTTGATGCAGGCAGATTTGCCCCAAAATGAGCTGGTTGAGTCAGTTCTCTATTTTCAGAACTCAGCTCTGTTGGGGTAATTGTCACCATATCTCCTTTTTATTTTACTTTTTTACTTGAAACCTTAAGTATAGCCCGACTGTGGTGCCTTGCACTGTGAGGAGAATTCCAAGTTGCTCGGTTATCCTAAACGGTACTTTTCCTGCTTTGTGGTACACACACCACCTGGTGTGGAAAGTTGGGGGGGGGGGAAAGGTTCTTAATCCATTTTTGCTTTTTGAAACATCTGGATTGAAGTTGGGGAAACTCCTCTGTGCTTCCTTATCGTGAAGTCTGGCGAGAGACCAGGAAAGATCTGGGAATAACCTGAAAGAAATCAAACAAAACAAGCAAACGGCCATCCCGTAAGTCAGAGCCTTGGCTGTCTGATGGTAATTCCTTAGCGGACAAGAGATTTTGCTGCTGAAAGGCACTGGTCTGACAGTCTACTCTGTCAGCCCGCCACACACCGTCTCCTCCTTCCGGGTTTCCTTCCAGATCCTGCAGGCTTTGGGAAAATCCTATCACCCCGGCTGCTTCCGCTGCGTCGTCTGTAACGAGTGCTTGGACGGCGTGCCTTTCACGGTCGACACAGAGAACAAGATCTACTGCGTCAGGGACTACCACAGGTGAGTGCGCGCTCGGCAAGTCCCTCGGCCGTTCCAGAACGCTCTCCCACTGCACGGGTAGAGCTCAAGGCATGGAAGGTGCACACGTTTAATCCTGTTGTTCCTATAAGCGTCAGGAAGGTGGCTGAAACGTTGTTGTTGTTTTTTTTACGTTCATCTCTGAATCCATCTAAAAATGAGTGTTCCCACAGAATTCAGGCACCTGGTTACCTCTTGTATTACGTTAAAAAAAAAAACACAGAAAGCTGACCGAAAGGGGTATTTCTTGGCACTATGGTGGGTTGTTTGTAGTCATTGTAGTCATGTAGACATGGAAAACCATATTAAATAATGGAGATAATTAAATACAAACTTGTTTGGAGAAAATATCTTGTTACTACTGCCTTCTCAAACTGAAGACAAAATGAGTGTAGTTAGATCTAACAGATTTCTTAATACCCAACTAATTTCTCTTTGCTTTAACTCCTAAATCTGCTGACACCTGACATTAGAGACCGTCATGACATTGGTAGTAAAATCTAAGCACCATACGGTATATAAAACAGCAGTGAGAAACAGTAAAGTTTCTTACATACTAATTGATGATATTGTCCAAAATAGCATTATTCAGTCATCATGATATCTTGCTTCAGTGGCACACAGACCGATTCAGTGTAAAGATACTGTTCTTAACTATTGTCTTTTGTCCTGATAATCCTCTTTGGTTTTGTTTTTCTCCTGGATGACAATTCCTCTCCAATTCATGGCCTCAGAGCAAGGTAAACCTCACCATTGGTAGTCTAGATCTTCCTTCATTCCCATTGTAGTGTGCTAGACCCTCACTGCCATGGTCTTTGTCCCCTGAAGATGCAATACAGTCAGACTAAACTGGAGGAATGGGAGGAACTAAGACTCAAACATCACCCTGATAAATTTATGGACCAAAATCAAAATGATGATGAGACCAAAGTTGTGATGGTTGCTTATCTTCTCATGAGTCCACATGGAATGGCAATTTCTTGGCTTGTTGGGATAGCGCAAAATCTGCCCCAACCAAAGCTATTGCTCTGCATGTCCTAAAAATCCTGAAACTAGATTTTTTTTTATCTTTGTATTGGTCTTCTATGAAGTCTGAAATAGAACCGTTCACCTCTACAGATACGGATTAATAAGCTTCATTTGAGAACTCTGGGAGAAGGTGTTTAAAAGAAACGGAACGCTCCTTCTTTTGTAATTTGTTTAAAAAACCGCTTGTATCATTGAGTGAAATTCCAGCATTTAATCCCTAAAACCAGCAAGTGAAGGACTAACCAATTAAGTATAGTAATAGCAATATTTGTTTTCTTTGTGCAATTCATATTCCCCGCAACTAAAACAACTAGGACAGGCACCACACTTTATAGCTGGGAGGTGTTTTTGGAATCATTGTTTTGAAATTTTCATGATGCAGTCATGAAGACCATGAGTGATTGAAACACTATTAATATTCAGCGAAGGTGTCCGCTACTATATTCCTTCATTGCTTAGAAAGCAGGAGGTTAAATTTGGTTTCCAAATAAGGAATTGCAATCAACGTCAAACAGCAGCAAGACTGTGTTATGATCACTCACCGTTAGTCATCGGGTCAGGAATGTGAATAAATGGCTGTATTGTGTTTTTATGGGCATCACTGTAACCTGTGATAAATGATGAGTCTGTGGCTTTTGCTTTGATGTTCCTGAAGTTTGACTGACAGTAAAGATCAGTCAAAAAGTCTTATAAGTTTCATTTTACTGGCTGTAAATAAGCCCTTCTTAAAGTGGCATATTAATGAACACAATACGAGATCATCTTGTAATGAAGAGACCTTGGCACAAATTTTATTTCCTAGCTTTTCTGAATAGCGGCCGATGTAATGACCAATGCAGAACGCCACCCCACATGGCACACTCAGGGGACGGGCGGATTATTTCTGCGAATTTTCTGTCATGCTTTTCATACAAAAAGACAAGTAACAGGGTACAATATAATGCATCAGTCTGAACAGTGTGTGAAAGTTTTACTTCTTTTTTCTAAAAATGAACATGCAGCTCTTTTTCAAAATTTGCAATATACTTTTATCAGCTGATCGTCTGACTGGGGTCAAAGCATTTTACAAATTATGGATGGAGCATGTTTTTTTTGCAAAAAAAAAAAAGATATGAGAACAACAAAAACATTGTATAGACACGATAATAGAAAAGGTTTTTTTAATCAATAGCCTTCAATTAAGCTATAGACAAAAGACAGATTTAAAATAGAATTCTTTATGTAAGGAAAGCCTCTATTTTTTAGTATAATTCTCAGAATATGGATGCTTAGATAAGGCCTTAAAGCGTTAAAGGGTCCACAGGTGTTAAAGTCAGACATACCTCTTGATTAAATCAGAGACTTTCTTGACCCACATACAAGGCATGTTTCCCTGAGCCGAAGGTAAGTTCTCTGTGGCCATCTCCCCTCACGCAGTGTACCAAGTGTTACTATTGAAGATCCACAGCTCGTTTAATACAAAAGCTGAAATGCTGATGTGACAATGTTTGCCACTTAGGACCCACAGGAATTGTCTTGTATGCAAAAAAAAATACATTCCTTTTTGTTTTGTTTTTTTTTCTTTCCTTGAAGAGTTCTGGCTCCTAAATGTGCGGCCTGTGCCCAACCCATCCTGCCCTCTGAGGTGAGCTCCCAGAATGCACGGCTGTTTTCTGATGTTTTTGCTATCGCCTTCTGAAGTGTTGTCATGGCAACAGGTTTTATGGCACCCATCTTTCCTCGCTTGTCTCCCTTTCATCTCCACCACAACCCAGATCACCGGATAATTAATCTTTATTCTTTGTCTGATGAACCACTAATTAGGAGTTATTGGGAAGCAGTACCTTGGGAAGGGCTGACATTCCTGTGTAAGACCTCTATTGTAAAACATCAGATGCTCACAGTTTAATATTATTTTATTGCTCTAGCTATTATCCTTTTTTGACCCGGCTAGGGTGTGTCCGTAGAGGAGTGAAGAAATTGCGGTTGCGTCTTTTCTGTGCGCGTCCGGCCTTTGTCACCAGTCGTGTCCGAACGCGAGTGTTGACGGAGGGCCGGCACCAGGCGGGCTCGATCCGCCCTCCCTGTGTGGGGCAGGCGGACAGGGGGCCCGGCAGCCCCCCCACGACCACGCCAGCGCCCGACCTCGCCGTGCGGGAGGGGTTCTCGGCGAGGCGGCTGTCCTGTCGCCGTCGGGAGGACGGGGCCTGTCCCGAAAAGGCTCGAGAGCTCGGGTGCGCCCGGCCCCCCTTCCGCACAGCCGCTCCTGTGCTGCGGCCTCCCTCCGGGACAGGAGGAGTGGACGAGCCGGGTCGTGCTGTGGCTGTACCACCTCGGGGTGTCTGGCCTGGTGAGCCGCCGGCAAGACCCTAACGTCCTGCCCGTCTCCCCAGGGCTCCGACGAGACGATCCGGGTGGTGTCCATGGACAAAGACTATCACGTGGAGTGCTACCACTGTGAGGTCAGTGACGCCCCTCCTCCTGGCTGGTGTGGTGCGGCCGCAGTCCCTCGTTCGCTGGACTGCCTGAGCCCGCAGTCCGGTTCACGCCCTCCCGCGGCTCTCCAGAGCGTGTGAGCGCCCCTGCCGAGATGCTCGCTGACCGTCCCGGCTGCTGCAGTCGTATTGATATCTTACTGTAAAGATTCATCGAAGGCCGGGTAGATTTATCAGTCTCGGCGTCTTAATTGGATTTCCTGTAGTCCGTTTTTGCAGCCTCTCAAAGTGACCTTCAGAAAACAAGGCTTTCACCCTGCACAGCAGCAAGACCATGAGCTATCCTGGTACAATTGATTTATTGATCCTAGTGTGGGCTTCCCGGTGTCTTGTTACCACTCTCAGGGGCTGATTGCACCGAGAGCTTTAGTTACAGATTCACTGTCGATTTCGATGCACAAGAAGTGAAGTTGAATATTGGGAATCGCTTCTGAGAGAGTGAAGAGGCATGAAATAGTAACACATTTATTTTCAAAGGCTGGCAGGTTTAAATCGGTCTTATCATCGATGCCCACTTTCATTTTAAAGGATCGGGAGTCATTAACTCTGTGGTAGAACAGACTTGGGCAGGTAATTTCTCTGTTAATACACCACAGTATTTTGCATGGGATTTTATTTATTGTCGCCTCCCTGGTGGTAGTTTGGAATTATTCTTTAAAGGGCAAAATTCAGACTCGTTAAAAAGTAAAGTAGGTTAACGTCTTTGGAAGAGTGCAATATTGTTTTTCACCCCACGTGAATGTTTCTCTCGTCACCCAGGTAGCAGTACTGCCAGATTTCTAATGGCACCACGTTCACTTCTAACGAGACGGTTGAAGCCAAACAACTGGAGTTCGTTTTGTTGCGTTCCGATGGCGTGACAACAATTTCTTGGTCGATTTACATTCAAAGACCTCTTGGTTTTTAGGCAGGCTCGGGTTGTTGTTGTTGTTTATTTTTGCAGTGCAGTAGTTTTCTTGCCACAGAAGGCTCATCACCTCGTTAACAAACACGCATGTCGCGCCGGCCGGGCTGGGAGACCACTCTCTGGCCCCGGGCCCCCGACTCACTCGCCCTGTCCCGCCCCGCACAGGACTGCCGGATGGAGCTGAACGACGAGGAGGGCCACCGCTGCTACCCCCTGCAGGGGCACCTGCTGTGCCACTCCTG